CCCTCTTCTTGAGGGCAACGGCCGTGTGCCGGCAGCAGGGAGCCCTGCTCGGCCCCCGGCAGTGCCACAGCCCCTGGCACTGCCACAGCCCGGTCCCACAGCCGGGCACAGCTCTGCCATCCCACCATGGGTGCGGGTAAGGTGTTTGCAAGACAAAGGTGACCGTGGGGCTAAGCCCCGTCAGGGGCCCCTGGGGTGACTGGCTGCCTCTGCCTGGACCCGAGCAGGTTGGGGCAGGAGGAAGAGGCCGGGGGGCCCCCCCGCCCCCCCTGCCTCCCCCAGCCCCTCTCCCCTGCTATCCCTCATCTTTCCAAGTGCGCTTGTGCTTTCCTCAAAAGATAAATGGCTTTCGCTTAAAAAATAGGCTAATTAATTTCCCACCTAATTAATGCAGATTCTTAGATCACTTTTCCCCCCAGGATGCCAAAATAGATTCTCAGGACTGGAGGGAGAGGAAAGGTTGCTTTGATGAGTCACCGGGGGTTATTATTTAACTATTTTTGTTCTGGCAAAGAAGAGCCATTGGGATGGGAGCCTGCAGCTCCAGCAGCCGTGGGAAAACCAGCTCATGGATCAAAGGGAAAGGGGGAAGGGGCTCTCTCAGGCTCTGCAATGCCAGCGAGGGGGGCTTCAGCTCCTGGGGAAACTCCTCCATCCCTGCCCGGCAGTCATAGCCAGGGTTAGGATGAGGCAGCTCCCAAAACACATCCCCAGGGTGGTCTACAACCAAGAGAAGCTGCTCAAAAAACTTGACATTAGTGTGGATCTGCTCTGTCCCACAGGAGAGGGCTGGGGACGGCGATGCAGCAACTGAGCCCTGGTGGGACAGCCGGCACCGGAGACCTACGACCAAAGAGGCTGGTTATGGGGAGCAGGGAAGCAGCAGGAGCAGCAGCTCAGCGTCCCTGGGGGAAGCGTGGCCCCAGTGGCAGTGCGAGGAGCCGTGCAGAAGCAGCGCGGTTAAACCGGGAGCTCCCGTCCCCGGGACGGGGAGAAGCGGTGACCACAGGAGGGGACGCACTCAGCCGGGTGCAAGGGGGGAAGCAGAGCAGTGGCACCATCCCCGCAGCTGTCACCCACTGCCCAGCACCAGCACACCCAGGGCTCGGCCCCGCGAAATCATCAACTTACTAACTACGGGCAGGGGCACCTCAAAACCTGGCCACTTCAACATCGGGGC